ATGAGTTGCGTGAGGGACGCGTGCGCTCAATCTGCGAGCGGACGCTCACAGTGCGACGAGAGCGGCCAGGAGCAGAGGTTGAGAAGGAAGAAGAGGCAGGTGGTGTCGAAAGCGCGCAAGCGCTATGTCGCTGAGCTCGCATCAGGCGTCGGTGGGTCTGTGTGCTGGAGACGTGCGGGGCGGCGGGGTGCGGCGCGTACATTGCGGGTCTTCGGACTCGATTGAGGCGTACAAGATGCCTTGCATGGGGCCGGCTGGCAGTGGAATGAGAGACGGCGCAGGACAGAAATGGTATGCACAGACAGGATTGTCCGAGATCAGGCTGAGCGGCGACCGGCGTAGTCTAACAGCGCAGGCGATGTGTGCGCAGGAGGCTGGAGGAAAGGGGCGCTGCCTAGAGCCAGTTGCGCGCACGCGATGAGAGAGAGGCTAAAGGCGATCGGGCAGAGTGACGGTCTTGCACACGAGAGCGGCAGAGAACGAGGACGGCCAGACGCGAACGAGAGCCAGGGCGGACAGCGGGGATGCGAGATGCCACTGCGCCGACGTCTAGACAAGCGCCGACGATCCCTGGCGAGTGGCATTGACGAGAGCGCTGTCGTTGGCCGCGGCGAGACAGGAGCGAGCTTGAGGCGAGGGCAGCGCATTCGATCGCGAGCGGGCGCAGGGCGTTCGAACGTGCGGGCGCCTTTCCATTGGATGGCGAGCTCCTGATCGAGAATCGAGATCTCTCTTTACGGCGACGTGCGTCAACTCCCCGGGCCATGTAGAGCTGCCGTTCCTGGCTTCTATGCCGTCCCACGCCCTCTCTGCAAAGGCTTTGCCAGCGGATGCCTTTGCATAACGTCACTTTGAATGATGGCAATAAGGCGCGTTCAAACCCGTCAGCCACCCACGGATTGACCTTCATGACCATGTATTAGATGCCGCAGATCGCGTTTGGTACCGGCTCAAAGTGGAAGGGCCAGGTACGGCGTCCAAACTTCATGGCTCTGCAGCCCCTGACCCATCTGCTTAGGATGTCACGGACTATGTAACGAACGCCATAGAGACCGGCTTCTCTCACATAGACACTGCACAGTGTGAGTGCTCCCCGGTCAGGCTGCAGCGTAATGGACTTTGCTTACAAAGCACAGTCTATGCCAACGAGGAGAGTGTCGCGGCCGCTATCCGTGAGACTGGACTTGACCGCTCCGACGTCTTCATCACGACAAAGTGGTCGAGCCAGGCAGGTGTGCGGGAATCGCTCGAGAGAAGCTTGGCCAAGGCGAGTTGGGATATCCGAGCACAGTGTACCTATCTCATCAAGGCAACAGCTTGAGCTCACACAAGTCGACCTGTATCTGATTCACAACCCCGCCCTCGCGAAGGACTATGAGTCTGACTGGCGTGACTTTGAAGCAGTCAGAGAGGCCGGGTTAACCAAGTACGCTCCTTGCGCATCTAACAAAATTCATACCAATCACATTGTGCCATCCCCGGTAGGAGCATCGGTGTTAGCAATTTCAATCTAGAGCAAATGCAGAAGCTCTGGAAGATAGCCAAGGTCAAGCCTGCCGCGAACCAGGTTCATCTCTCCGCACGTTGCCCTCGATGGCTGCTAAGCAAACTCGACTGACAGATCCAGTTCCACCCCTACAACTACGCGGGAAATAAGGATCTGCTCGCGTTCTGCCAACAGCACGGTGTTGTCGTCGAGGCCTACAGTAGTCTGAGGTCAGAAACTATCGTCAAAGCCCGTTATAGATGCTGACCACCACTCGTGCAGTCCCATCACAAGATATCCGGGCGGTCCGGTAGACAAGCCAGTCAATGCTGCGGCGAAGAGACTCGGTGCGACCGCCACCCAGGTCATTCTCTCCTGGGTCAAAGCCAAGGGCGTGGTCATTGTCACGTAAGCCGCGGGCGTCGACGCTCTTTCTCAAGCGCTGAGTACGTCCTTCAGCACGAGCTCCAGTCGGGAACACATGCAAGAATACCTCGATGTCGGCGATCTGCGTGAGTTGATCGCAGCGTGCTATTACTTGACTCCCCGGAAGCTCACGCCATGCCTGACAGGCGCATTGACCGAGGACGAGATTGCCGCTATCGATGCTGCAGGGGCTCGAGGGCCGCCATCGTCCGCCCACTGCCGCATTAGGGACGCAGTCATCCTCCTTTCCACCACAGCGCTTCTAGGCTGGAGGCTGTACCGGTTCCTTCACTGAGAGGGGGCGTGTATCGTGATCCAAGCCGGGTCTAGGTCTGTAGGCTCGTAGTAGCTTATGCTACACAGTGCAAATGTGCATTTACCCCTGTGATTGTTGTATGCAAACGTGCGAGTCCATTTGTATGCCTGTTCAGATTCCACACCCCGCGCACATGCTATCATTGGCCACCGTCGGCGCGACTTGCCGAGAACGTCAGCCCAGGACCCCCGAATATTGGGGAGGAACCAGGCTCCTAAAACCAGCCCCACAATCGCGTTCTTCGCTCCTGAGGCCAACTTGGTGTTATATACGAAAAGATAATCACGTGATTGATCCGAAAATGAGAGCATGTGAGGAGTCAGAATAGCCGAATAAGAGGAGGACGAACGCTATAGAGGGGCTGGCGCAACTGGTCGCCGAGTCATCCCCGAGCGCTGAGGTTTCAGCGTCCAAATACTTATTCTTCGCTCCTAACCCCAACGTAGGTCTTATTTGTTTGGATTCGCGGAGTAGCAATCCCAGCTGCATTCGGCGCACCCTGCTCAGCCTGTTAACCATAATGAGCTCTGCCGAGTGTCTTTGGTCAGGTCTCATGAGATACATAATGCTACATCGCATTTAGATTAGGAGCAGTTATATATATTACAGCAAGCCAAATACAATTGGTTTGAATGTCTCTCTTTGGATAGTCTATGAGCAATTCTCTGGTACTTGGAAGCACATAAAACAAATGTTACCTGAACTTCCCTGCTACTCAGCAATGATGTGGCCTCTTGGTCAATGATATCACGCGATGTATATTCTTCATATGGTTCAGGCAACACATGAGCCTTTGAAGGTGTGGATGCATGAGACTGCGAAGAGTGCCTAACCAAATGAGATCATCGGGCACTTACAAATGAAATAAATCAAGACCTACATTGGGGTTAGGAGCGAAGAATAAGTATTTAGACGCTGAAACCTCAGCGCTCGGGGATGACTCGGTGACCAGTTGCGCCAGCCCCTCCATAGTGTTTGTCCTCCTCTTATTTGGCTATTCTGACTCCTCATGTGCTCTCATTTTAGGATCAATCACGTGATTATCTTTTCATATATAACACCAAGTTGGCCTCTTGGATGTAGGAGCGAAGAACACGATTGTGGGGCTGGTTTTAGGAACCTGGGGAGGAACCATGATCCCATTCTGGACAAATCTGGATGTCGCAACTTGAGGTCAAGCGACAGGGGAGAGTCTGAGAGCTGGGGGCGTTCGACTGATCTCACCAAAGCGATGGTGAGCTATGCTCAAACCTAAGGCTAGGGACAAGTAAATGTATTAGTTAGTAGGGTAAGAAAGAATACAAATGAGGGCTTACTGACCTAGGGACAAGAGGTCGAAACTGAGGTCCCTAGGGCAGCAGAGGCCGGCTTATATACAGGGAAAGATGAGGGCAGGCTGTGCGCACTGGTCCGTGCACAGCTGGTCCGTGCGCAGCAAGCTGACGCGGCCCCGGGGGCCGGTGAGTCAGAGCGGCTATGTCAGCAGAGCCCGAGCTGTGCCGCGCACTGCCGCCCCATCTAGTCTAATCGTAGAGTAGATAAGGACTTGTCCGTTCGAGCGTATAGTACAGAGGTCGCGGGTTCGAGCCCGCGAAAAGGAAAAAATTAAAAAATGGCTAGATGCCGTACCAAGTCGTGACATTACCCCCCCTCAACGGCGCATGACCTCATGCGAGGCGCCCCTGCCCATTTCCCACCCGGAGCGGCAGCGTGCTTCAGTCAGCGGCAAAGGCATTGGCTGAAAGTTGAGACCACCAAATGTAGCGGCATTGAGGCGGCGAGGGGCGTTTGGATTCTTCTGGTGGAAGTCGGCTATGAGGGCCGGCGCATTCGCAACATTGCGCGCCGGTTCCCATGACGTATGTGAGTCGTCATAACCCTTCCACTTGACGAGGTACTGCAGCTGACGCTGGAAGATCCTCGAATCTTTGATCTGCTCAACCTCGTACTCCTCGTCGCCCTCGACCTCAATGGCAGGCGGTTCCTCTGGCTCTCGGCCCGGGATCTCGCTACGCGTGTACTTGCTAAGCAAGGAGACATGGAACACCGGGT